CTCTCTAATGAAGAACATGCACTAACTTTCTATGAACCGATTTGAGCCAAATTATCATCTCAATAAACTGTTTATGGCCACACTTCACTGGATTCACAAAGTTTATTATTAGCTTGCACTTTGCTGGTTGGCAGGAAGGGGACAGAGGGGAAAAATGCAAACACAAAACAGTCAGAGTGGGAATAGGAACCTGACAGTCAGTCAGAGCAATTTATCATTCTGTCAAACTTCACTGACTGCTGCAGCAGAACCATCTACAGTGCAAAAAAATCTCTGCCCACTACTCCAAAATGACTGAGTGTTGAGGAGAGGAAGGCCAGAAAACTATACCTGACATGTAAAAGTGTTTGTTATTAAACACACCTGCTTGGCTTTACGTCAATGAGGTAGCTAAAATAGCAAGAAATTTGTCCTGCGTCTGTAACAATCAAACATAACAGATAAACCATTAGTGTGATTTGTAAAACATGTGCTTTAAGAGTTAAAACACATTAAGTTTTTTCTTTTTCCCCCGCCAGCTCTATCTACTGATAAACGAGTTCAGGATGGTCACTAGCTAACCAGTACACTTCCAGTACACTAACCAGTACACTTCCAGGGTTGTTCCTGTCCCAGTATAGTCCTAAACATGGCAGGAAATATAATCATCGTGAAATGAGTCCATGTTGCATTGTTTGATGGAAATGTATTCCTATTCCTGTTATTTGTGACTTTTATTAAATAAATTAGTTTACACGCAAATTCAACAAAACACAGCGATGTGGAAAAGAAAAGAAAATGCAACATTATCAAAATTATACATGAGTTATAGGATAAAAATAAACAACTATTCAGTAAAAAAAGTTTTAAAATTGTCCCTGGTCTTTGTTTGTTTTTTATGAGGGAGAGCTTTTTACCATCTGGCTCGTTACAGTCAAATAACCTTATTTAACAGGATATATTAGAATATGTTTCTGTGCTTTATTGATCAAAAACACACTTTTTATTAATACTTTACATTGCTGCAGCAGACAGCTTCACCCCCTGTCAGAACTCCCTTTCTGCTCCTCAGACGCTTCGGTTTGAACAGTAGTTACGAACATAACCAACATGGATCGCTAAAGAACGCTAACAACATGGTACAACATAACAATAAACTTTAGCGACATGCGACTTTCTCACCGAGAAGTCATTGTTCATGTTAGTAAAGCCCAAATGGATAAATAAACTAATTAGCATTATAATGCAAACTCCTTTATAATAATCCTGCAGCGTCTGTGGAATCACACTGCAGCTCCAAATTGGTAATTAATTTCCTCTGCTTCCCAAAATAACTCTTGTTTACAAGCAGCCAACCTGCTGCAACTGTCTCAGCAATAATCCTTGCATTCAGTTTTTTAATGTGTCTATAGTATTATGTAACAAAGCATGCATGTACATACTGCAAATAATAGTTGGTGTGATGATCACTGCAGTGAGAAGCATAGCAAATGTAAGAGCAAGGTATGGTGTGCTGCATCATTACAGTAACGTTAATGCTAATTTACCAAGATCAAATGACCTGATTACAGATGTACGCCATCTATAATCCAGATCCCTTCCCAGACGCCTTGACCCCCACTCACATGAGTCACATGATATGGTGGGGTTCACCTGAAACCTTGGCTGATTGTGACCCACACCTGTTTTTACACCTTGGCTCATGTGATTAGGCAGAGGATCAATAGGGGGTTCATGACCCTCTTAGGGACACTCCCAATAGGGCTTAAAATCTGGGACTCTCCACCAGTTACGCTTAGAACTGAAGAAGCTTGTCAGATGAAACATCTTCAAGAAACTTAAAGAAGACCAAATGTGTTTCTTTCCGAGCTCCTTGGACTTCGACAAAGAAGCAAAGCAGAACCATGACGAGACATGATGCCACTGTCAAAAATGTGGGATTTAAGCCATTTACCATTGTTACCAACTCTGTGGCCATAAAAAACTCCCCGAGACAGCTCTCCTTGAACCTGGTTCTTTACAATGAAGTGCCTTGAGCTGACTGTTGTTGTGATTTGGCGTTACATAAATAAGACTGAATTAAACTGAACAGCTGTATTTGCCACAACGAACATCTGATCCATATGAGGCTCACGGCCCACTTCATTGAGACTACTGAACTTCATGTTCCTTTTGGTGCCACTGGAGAAGAAGCAATTATAGTCTAGATGTAGTTTTTAGATTTTATTTTGCACTGATGGCATTTTTATGTTTTTGTAGCTGATCATAGAATTTTAGTTTTCAAGTTTGTTTGTGTTCTTCTGTAAAACTTGAATCTTTTCAGTTTCAGTTTAGTAGATGTACTCGTGTTGTTTATTTAAAATGTAATTGAACATTGTTGTCATGAATATATATGAACTTTAAGCTTGTCAGCCACAGTGACTGGACACATATTGTCATATGTATCCATAATGACTGACATTAAAAACGTTTTTATAAGACGTTTTTCCATATTGCCAAGCCCTAACTAAATCTTGCCAAGCATAATTCACAAAAGATTGATTTTTTTATTACTGTATTTTTTATGTGTGTGCTGCATATTTGTAGCTTTTATTTTCTACAAGCATGCTATCTATTCACAAAGTCTCTTAAATAAGCCTCTTGGATGGAAAGAAATCCCCCAACAGTCCCCAAAGTTGCCCACAAAATGTTCCCAAGTAAAAAGAGCGATTGTTATGATCATTTCAACACGTGCCAAGGCTTACTTTACATGTCTAGATCCCCATCTGTCTCATTTTATAAATGACTTAACAGAGCTGTAGTTTTGACTATATTTATACCCTGGAAGTAATTACCTTATACGTGCAGAATTCATGAATCAATTTGCAATTACAGTCCCAGCACTGTTAGTTTTTAAAGTCTGCTGCTATTTGACAGATCATTCACAAACGAGGTAAATATTCCCATATGCTCTGATAGCACATTCAAATTGGCCATGCACTGGTTAAAGCATGCTCTGCATATCCAAGGGATTTAATGGAATTCCATCGATAGGTAATTAGCCTATTACAACCTTTCAGTTGTACCACATCCTTTGGTCAAATCACCCTTACTAGAACTGACTCAAAGATCCCATGCCAAACGGCTTCTTTTCTGATGTGCTGGGAGACAGTCTGTGATTACATTTAGTCCTGGGCCCTTTCATTTGACCAGCATATCATTTCTTCCCTGGCATACTTCAAAGTGTGGACACTTCAAAGTAGAATGAGTGACTGCCACTCGGACTCTGAGGATGGCTCTTTTGATCATCCTCTGAAAACTCCTCTAATGCAATCAGGGCAAGCACGCCAGAGAGAAGGATTTGACAGCCATAAGATAAATGCAGTAATCCTCATAGCTATCAGATAAGCACAGCATGCTCTAATCCATTAATATGAAAATGAGGGAGGACTCAAAGTGGCTGGGTGGGGGCTTCAGAGCAACAGTTAAACACTTTGGAATAAGTCTTCAAAGGAAGGATTCAGAATTTAAACTATTTAATGATCTGTGTGTGTGTGTGTGTGTGGGGGGGGGGGGTGCCCAGGATAACAGCTTCCTACATCATAACACTAAATTATTTTGTTAATGCACTTACAAGGTGTAAGAGCAAATCTGATGTCTACCTGCAGTGATGTGAGTTAAAGTCTTCCAGCAACTCTTGAGTAACCATCAACCTGCTTTTATAGCAGTCCTCAGTTTTAACCTCTGCATCCTGTTTTATTACATTTGACCTTGAGTTTCTGTTTATGCTTCCCTGTTATTAAGATGTTTGTGTTTACGGCATCGTTCAGATACTCTATTATTCTAGTCTTGGTTATGGTTATATTGAGTCTTTCTGCTTTTACTTTATGTTTCCTACTGATAGCTTTCAGTTTTGCAATCGGCTGGTTTGACTCTTACTTTTGGTAGTAATAGTTTGCTCAGTGTTTTTCCTGTCGTCTGTTCTCCCTGTCTCATTTTTCTCGTGGTGCCTGGTCCACTGTCATTGACTCTGACTCTCCTTGACTCTGAGTATTTGTCTTTATTTTATTTTGAAGGTTTTTTTTAACCTGTGTCTCATTCCTATTGACATGAAATGCATTATATGTTTCCAGGATAGTGCTCTGATAAAGGTCAAAAAGACTGACGACTCCATCAGATCACCATCTGGAGTACGTAGGTGACCAGGGAGAGACCACCAACCAACCTTCACACAGCAGTAATGTATGTCAGGTGGTACAGTGTGCTAAACTGTCAGAATTCAGCATTTAGCGTTTGGTCAGATGCTGCGAAAGTTTTAAATGTCCACAAAATGCAGCGATTAGCGTCACATTGCAATTGTCATGGCTATAATGTTAGCCAGTGCAAGCATGCCTAACAATATATATGGAACATTTTAGCCTTTTGACCCATAGCCTAAAATTCTTAGCCCTTGCAAACATTTTACAATTGCAATGCTAGCCTGGAAAAGAAATGACAATGTGCCACCTCCTCCTTCTTCAGCATGTAAGAATAGACAAGAACCCTTGTAGGCGTATGCTTTCTCTGTCAGAATTGCTGCCTCAGTGCATACACTCCGTACACTACCTATGGTACTAAAAAAAAATCCCTCTTTCAGACGTTTGGAGTTGGAAGGAACTGTAAGTATTGGTTCTAGTGGGGTGTGTCAACGTGAAGTCTGTAGCTGCTCATTTGCTGATTGCTTTAGTTGTAAAGGTAGATGCAGACTTGGCTTCTGTCTGTCCCCCAACTTTGTTTTTTGAAGGAACTCAGTTGTTCCATCTGACCACCTGCTCTTCTAATGCAAATCCATCCAATCACATTTATCTCCTATTCTATCTCTCTATCCTCTTGCTATTTCTTTATCTGCAACATTACTAGAAGTACTCTGTCCTGTTCATACAATCACCTATTGATATTTTCCGTGCTTCCCCATTACTGCTTTCTATTCAGCTATCCTTCTATCCATTTATCCATCCCTTCATTCATTAGCATTGGGTATGTGAGAGGTGATGTGAACTCACCTAATGGGGTTATGTGTCTCCAGGTAATGGTTGGCTCAGGTTTCCCACTGGCTGTGCAGATGAGAGACACATTGCTGCCCTCGTTTACCGTGATGTCAGGGGAAATGTCATATATCTTGGGAGGAACTACAAAAAAAAAAGAAAAAGAAAGGAAAGGGAGAACATATAAACAAGATTAGCATTTCAAAGTGAAATATGATTCCTCCAGCAATATCATCTATATGTACGATTAAATTAGAGAGGAAATCAGTGTATGATGAATAATACAGTAAGAACAGTAAGAAGAATATATGTTTCGGTAAATGCTCCTTCACTTTACTGTTTGCATAAATCCCACATTACATGTCATATTCAGACCCCATGAGTCTGACATCGTCACCTTGTTAGATATTCAGAGTGGGCGTAAGGGGAGTGTGACTTTCCCCTTGGCAGTTACTCCTACTCAACTGCATCAGTGACTATCACAGTCATGACTGAGGCTACATTGGGTAGTGCACACTTAGTATAGGTTAAGCAGGTTTAAACAAAGAAGCAGACAGTCGGATCAAAATAAACAGAGGCACAGTATAAGACAGGCTAAATGTTAGCGGTGGAGGAAAGAAATGAATACAGCATAGCATGCATGGTGATAGTGTATTGTTACTGGGACACCAAATATCAATATTTTATTAAACTGAATATGAACAAGAGGGCTAATCTTATGCACCACCATCCTGAGATAACATAAGCTAAATAAACTTGACAACCTCCTAACCTCCTCGCTGTAAGCTAATAACTCCATTCCATGAGTAAAAATAGGATACCAAATCTATTAAACTAAAAACGAAGAAATATTTGATATTCTGTGACCGAGGGCTTGAGTGTGTTGCACACTCACGAGACTTTTTATCCATAAGGCGATTGCACACCTCACAGGAGGACTTTTCTGCAAACAGTCACAGTCTGACTTGCACTAATTGCAATCACTAAAATTGCCAATATGTTGCCATCACACTAAATGAGTCTTTGTCACTGAGTGCAACTCGAGGGGACTCGACTCAACTGACCACCAGCTGGTTGTACATTAATATAGAACAGGAAGGTTGCCCAGCACAAATGTAATGGTTAAAATGGAAATTTCTGTTAAATGCAGATTTAACACCATCAGATATGTAATTTCTAACAATTTATCACAGTTAATTGCTCTATTATAGAAAACAAATTCCATGTAATTGCCAAATTGACCGCACTGAATTGCAGACTGATGTCAGACTAAGGCTAACTCCGTCTTATGTTAACATTTACAGCAGGCTTTAGTGATTGGTATTTGACAAGTCTTTCCTGGCCTATCCTGTCAAATAGGGGTTGATGTAGGAGACGCCCTGTACAGCTCACCAATCAGAGACAGACAATTAACGTCAATGTGTTTGTACTGGAACATGGACACTCCACACAGAGGGGCCCTAGCCAGGAGGCTAGTGGATCTAAACTAGCCAAATGGGGCTATGAGTCAACAGTTTGCCCATGATTAGCTCACCTCTCGCTAAAAAGAATCAATCTGGCAACTTATTGTATGACATCCTCTGTTGTATAAGTATATCGAGGTCCCAGTATATGTATATCGAAATATGGAAATAATTCTTAGATATTTTACAAAAACATAAACAGGCTTTAAACAGATCTTGTCTTCCTAGAATCACTAGTGTATAACATCTGTTGGCGATATACTGATATAATGATTGAGGGTAAACAGAAGTTAACTAATGTGCTCTCACAGCCAGAAAATGAATGACAGCACAAAGTGTGGCTCAACTAAAAAGTTTTAAATGTGAATAATAATTGAATACACTTTGACACTTTTTAATCACAGACACTGCGACACACTGCAGATAGATGTCTCCTAATGGCTCATGTATCACGGTACCTTTGTTACTTTGGGAAATACTTCATGATGGTATTGTAAGTTACTATGCGTAGCCCCTAAAACCAAACTCCCCAAAAGTAAGTAATTCATAGATCTGTAGCCGGGCTTAGAGGGTGTTTATCATCAATTTGGGGGGAAAAAAATATATTGACGGCAGCTCATGAGAAGTCCCCGCTGGACATCACTTACACGTATAATTGGAAAGTTTCTGTGCACTTAAATCCTCTTGGAGCTTTGATGTTAAAAGCTTCGGTATTTAGGGTGTTCAAAACGCAGAGAGAAACACATGAAGCCATCCACAAAGGCCTTTGCACGCATTTGAATAAGCACACATGCAGGTACATGTGCATGTGCACACACACTGCTGCCAGCTTATGAGACACTATTTTAATCTGCAAGATTTGAATCTCAGCGGGGGCTTTTCTGCAGTGGACTGTGTTATACAGTAATGGATTCTCACTCATCTGGGTCCAACTATTCAACTATTCTACCCTCTGATCCTGCCTGATGCCTGCTAAAAAAACAACAAAGGAAAAGTTGATTCAACAATGTCTAGAGTTCCCCCCTTTAGGCCCACCAACACATTTTAGTCACATGGTCTTTTGTGCCATTGAACTTTCACTTCAGCATCAATTTCTCCCCTTCACTCTGTTATGAGTATACAAAGGGCACTGCAAAGAATTTAAACGCAAGCAAAACCTGCAACTTATAAACAATAAATGAGTTTCTTTAGTGCACAGAAAACAATCTGTGGCTTGGACAAAGTAAAAGTATAAAGCTAATAACGGAACTCCGATGACCAACATTAAGGCCATAAACAGCATGCTATAACTTTAACAAGGTTATATGTGTCCCACTTGTGTATTAAGAGCGAACAGCCAATCGGTTTTATAACTCTGCGATTTAAAGGAAACAAACAGCACTGTATGACTCACAAGTGGTACCACCAACCAGCAACCTGCACTGACCCAGGCATAACCAACCAATGAAACAAGGGAATGCCCATGAAAACATTTGCAATGCTGCTGTTTTTTGTTGAGGGATGATAGGCGTCGCTTTTGATCAACAGATCTGGATCTAAATGAGATGAAAGTGGCGGACCTTCTGTGGGAGAGGACCGGAGGCGATGTTGAATCTAGGTTATTGCTTGTCAGACTCCTGTGTTTACTTGCTGTAGGACCCCAGTGTTGACACATCTCCTCAGTGTCTGATAGCACAAAATTGAAAATGTTGGGGTTGTCTACTGATCCTATCTCTCTTTGGCAGGGACTGAGAGGTTTTCAAAGGTTTAGATGAAGAGCCCACAGTTTTTCAGCTCAGAGCTGCTGTAGCACAGTGGCTTTACTGTATAACAATGCTTGCTCCAGTTAAGAATAACAACCGATGCTGTGAAACAGAATAAAAGATCAATAGGTACCAGTCAAACTTTAGACACTGAGTGAAAAACTTTTTATCATTATGGCGCTGCGGTATCTGAACAACTGAACAGTAATTTATTCACCAGACAATAGTCCATGTTTTCGATTCATGCCTTTTAAATCTATTACAGTAACTACCCGAAGGCTTTTTTATAATTGTAGATTTGCTCTATTACCTCTAGTATGGAGGGAAAAACTACTATAATGAATAATTAAATGTATACAACACTGAATGCATTCAAGTAATATATTTTAAAAATGTAGGTACATATGATTATTTAAAGCCATAAAAAGAAGAAGAAAGAAAGCACATCCTCTTTCAGTTCTAACGTTTTACATATCAAGACATGATACAAATAATTCGATAACTACAACCTCAGATCAACTCCAAAACATGACATATTACATTGTGCCATTATTTATTTAACAGAAACTAAGCCAAATGCATAAGCATAAGTGTGTGCAATATTAGATCCACCCTTACTGCTGCTTTAGGAATTAAGAGGTTTAGTAGCAGCCGGGTGGATTAACTGATCATCAGCAAGTGTGAGCACCTCTACAAAAGGAGACGTTTTGTCAGTTTAGTGGTCTGGAGCACTCAGGTGCCTGTTAACACAATGCCAAGAAAGAAAGACGTCAGCGATGGTCTTGGAGAAGCAATTGTTGCTGCCCATCAATCGGGCGAGGTTATGAGGCCATTTCCAAACATTCTCAAGTGAGAAAGATTATTTACAAGTGGAAAACATCCAAGACAGCTGCCAATCTCTCCAGGAGTGGACATCGCACCATCCCAGCAAATTCATTCAAGTTCATGACAGTACAATTAGAAACAGACTGGATAAGTATGGCTTGTTTACAACGGCTGTCAGGAGAAAGCATCTTCTCTCTAAAAAGAACATGGCAGCACAGCTTAGGTTTGCGAGGTTGCGTCTGAACAAACCACAAGACGTCTGGAACAATCTCCTTCGAACAGACGAGACCAAAGTACAGATGTCTGGCCATAATGCACAGCACCACGTCTGGCAAAAACCAAACACAGCCTATCAGCACAAACATCTCATACCAACTGTCAAGGAGGGCTGATGATTCGGGCTTGTTTTGCAGCCACAGGCCCCGAGCACCTCGCAGTCACTGAGTCCGCTATGAACTCCTCTGTATACCAAAGTATTCTGGAGTCGAATGTGAGGCCATCTGTCAGACAGATAAAGCTTGGCTTGAACTGGGTCACGTAGCACCAGCAGTTCTACAACTGAATGTGAAAAAGAAAAGTCAGTGTGTTATCCAGTCAAAGTCCGGACCTTGAAATCCTTAGTGAACTGAATTGACACTGTAAAGAGAAGTGGGCCAAAATTCCTCCACAATGCCTTTGTACAGAAAATGATTGCTTTTGTAGAAAACTGGTTCTATAAGCTTCTGAATCACAGGGTGCACTTCGTTTGTTTGGCTTCATTCTTGTTAAATAAGGTGTAATATCACAGGTTGGTGTTTATCTGAATTTCTATCTACTTCATTTTAAAAAAACTGCTTTTATTATGTCCTGACATGTAAAATCTGTATTTGCATTTGCATTAATTATTCTATGTAATCATCATTGGTTTTGAATTTTAAAAGCATTTCATCTTTTATCTATTTATTTTGGGAACAAGTTCCTTTGTATTTTCCTGGTTTATTTGCAAAAACTCCATTTCTGCTTAACTATACAAATGAGCGGGGGTACCACTCAAAATGCGTAATAAGGTCAACTCTTCACCTTTTGGTGTTAAATAAGTTAAACTCTTATCACGGACAAATGGGGAAATCACCGA